TACATAACTTCCGTCCAGGGGACGGGTACTCCAACTAGTAATAAATATACTTAGTATTCCGAAAATTGTGTTATTGGGTTATATCACACGTCGACCAAAGACTTCGAGATTAAATAATTTTCGGAATATTAAGTTTATGTATAATAGTTTTCAATGTCATTAGTTTTATTGTTTGTTTGTAGTTAAGCACAAAGCTACACAAAGGGCTATCTATGCTCTCCCCACCACGGGTTTCGAAACCCGGTTTCTAGAGTTATAAGTCCGCAGACATACAACTGTGCTTCTGGGGAGCACACTAGTTTTTATAAACAATATTTTTTTTTAGTTTTAGTTTCTATTTTGTTAACTTCTTGATCCAATTTTTCGTTTTCGCCTTTTTCTTTTCATTAACTTAAGAACCTGATAGAGGTTCATTGTTTTCAGTTAATTTTTAACTGTTGTTGAAATTATAGAATGCGTTTTGGCATTTTTTATATTTTGCTTAGATTGCGGGGACTCAGGCATATAAGGGTAGTTTTGCACGAAATTCAACAGACAAACTGGCGAAATCTAAGGAAAATATTTGTTAGATTACTTAAAAATGGATTTTACACAGACCTGATGTGTTTTCTTTATATAAACTAGCCTTAATATATATGTATTTTTGTGTATGTTGTTAAGCCAAAAGCGCGTAATGAGTTAAGAGTGTTCTGACCATCACGGGTACTGAAATCCGACTTTAGCTCTATAAACCCTTTTATTTACCGCTGAGCCATCAGATGGGAGGTTACAATTACAAAACAAATTTAATTATTTCCCCACTACGAAGTTTTTCGAAATTACGAGTTAAAGTTTGAGTTTAAAAGCACTTTTTATGATTGGTAGTAACGTATTCTATAGCTGCGAGCATTAAAGAGTTAATACAGGTATGTAAGTTGGGCTCAATTTTTTTCGTTACCCAGAATGCTTCATGATAAATAATCTATTATGGAGGATGAAAGACGCATAATTTCGTTGGTAGAATATCATATGCATGATGAAGATTCCGAAAGTTCAGATAGAGGCAAGCCTTAGGTTATGATTTTCAACATTTTTTTGGTAAATAAGTATTGTAGTGATATGTATTTTTAGCTATGTGATATTCAACTGATTAAGATATAACATTATTAAACTAAACTAAAGTTAAAATACTTAACGTCTTAAGATAGAAATAAAAGTTAAATACTGGCTCCTAATCCTATCACTATCACTCAGTATCATCCTCATAGTGAGTCATAGGCCCTATGGCAATTACGTGAAAATGAAAGTGAAAGTTGAAGTAGACCAGACCTAACTTGCTATTTAAAATTTAAAGTTTTAACTTGTAAATGTTTAAGTATTTTGTTACTTTGTGGTAGTTTTAAATTAGCCCGGGCATTATCACTGGCGCGTTCGAATAGAATTATTACTATTAGTATTAGAAGTTTGTACTGCATTGCAGTCTGTTCTGAACATCTTTATCAAAGTTTATGTAACATAACTAAGTAAATTTGGCCGTTTTTCTTTAAATTTGACGTATTTTACAATATCCTTGTTTGAGCACTCGACCACAAATTATTGTACTAAGTTATGTCATTAAACTTAAAGAATTAGACAAATGTTACTTAACTTAGTCTTATTCAAGTTATTGTCACTGTCAGTATCATGAGGTTTTGTCACTTTTATTACAATAACAAAAAAGACTGCATAGATAATTTTTATTCTACAAAAGGGAATACATGAGGAAGCAAGTGATGTTTAATAATGAAAAATAGTACATTATTTAGGAAGAAAAATAATTTTTTACTGGTGTAATATGTTTCAGAATACATTTATTCCTTTCTAAGTGAAATCTGAATACAAGATTGTGAAAATACTTTTGTGAAGATAAAATAAGAATATCTGAAAATATAAGTGTGGAAAATAGTGAGAAAATGAATGCATGTACATATATAATACATGAAGTAAGTTAAACAAATATAATCAGAAGACAAATTTTATTATGAAAATAATACCTGTGAAAAAAATAAGTTTGTACATAAAGTACCACAAAAAAAAGATATAAATTATTACTTATGGTTCAAGGTGGGCCTGGCATGGCCTTGTGGTTTAGGGAGCTCAACTCCAACCTGAGGGTTGCAAGTTCGATTCCCCATCACCAAACATTCTCCTCTTCCATAGTCGCTGTCTGTGCTAGCCACCTGGGTTAAAACTTCTGGACAACCCCAAACTAGTTAGGATTAATGTTGTTATGGCAAAGAAGAATCAGGATTTAAGGTCTATTGAAATTTTACCATTATTGCAGCTAGATCTATGGACTTTTAGCTTCTCAGTAAAGGAAATCTGCTGATTGCAAAAGACCACATTGCTCTAAATAACCTAAAGATATCCTTGTTATAAGGATTTTCTAAGTACTTTTCTCAAATATAATCATAATTCTGTAGCTCTTGAGAAGGTACATTAGATAGTCTTGGGGCAATGACTCCTGCTCTCAAACTTGATTTTCAGCATTTACAAAAACACTAAAAGGGCCGTTTCTAAAAAGTAAGACATTATTTCCCTTTCATTGCTTGTGAAAGTAAACAGTTTGCTATAGAACTTAAGCCTAATGGACTGAGTTTAAATTAAACTTGCTTTAGCTGACTAGAACATAAGTTGGATATGGATCTTAATGATGCTACATTAGAACACTTTTACTTAGTCATTATTCTTTGAATTTTTAAGGTTTAGAATATCTTTTATTTAATATTTATAAGATTAATAAGCAACATTTCAGTACTATTTATCAATGTTTATAGATTATGAATTTTCTACACTATTACTAAATGTTAATTTTAGCCATGCTCTTTAATAAGGTTCCTAATAATGGTTCTGAGGCTTACTATTATTTAAAATTTCTTTTTTGTTTCATTACTTGTATCAACATAAAAACTATTCTGAGTATACCAAGTATTCATAGCCAATTAACGATATTGTTGTAATATGTTCCACCATTGGACAGGGTCCAGTTAAGGTTACGATAGTGAATTAAATTATTTGTCCAATAATGTTTGTTACAGGCTGATAGGCCTCACAAACAGTATTTCAACATAAATTCAAAAACTAATGTACTCATAACTTATAAATACACTTGCAAGATTTCTTCAATAATCAATCCATAACAAACTTGCTGACTGACTCATTGTTTAGCCTACTAACTAACTGAATAACTGTCTAACTCACAAACTGATACTGAGCTGAATAACTTATTAACATAATAATTCACTGAGTCTGGTATTTATATACAATCTAGTTTTCTATTTAGAAAGTTTCCACATTCTACTGAGGCCATAACTTTCATGAAATACAAAATCTCATGTCATTATGACAAGATCCCTCTATCACACAAACAAGTAAATTAAAATATTGAAAATGTAGCTAACAACAATCCTTTAGCCTGTTTCTGTCTTCTCCTGTAGGTGTTTGTGTCCTTCAAGTTCAAACTACCAGTAAAATTCATACTTATTTAAATTGTATCTGCTATTAATCTATTAAAGTAAATATACAGTTATAGGGATGGTTTGCAAAGTAAATGTTATTCCAACTAAAGTAATGTTTGTATATAAAACTTTGTGTATATTTATTATACATCTGTTAATTATTATGATAAAAATGAAAACTGTAAGGTTATTTTCCCTCTTTCATTCACACTTATGGGGCAGTGTGACTCAGTGGCTTCATGCTTTGGACTTGTAGTTGGAAATTTGTAGTAGCAAATTCAAAGCTTGCTAATGACATGCTGTTGTGTCCTTGAGCAAGAATGCTTTCTTGTAGTTTTCAATCTTCCTAGCTGTTTGATGGGTACTAGATGATATCTGGGAAGTTAACCTGTGATGGACTGGCATCCCATCAAGGAGGAAAATGTCACCATTCTCCTCTTTTTATGTCAATGAAGCCAGAGCTCAGCAAGTTTCTAAGTACTACTTCTGCATTGGAAGGACTTTTAACATGTTGGACTTAAACATCTACTTTTTTTTTTACAGATTAGGCCCACAGTTGAGGACTATGTAAGGTATATTCTTAGTTGAGTACATTAAATTAATGTGGGTTCTCAAAGAAATGAACAGTACATTTTATGAGGCTGGCTTTAGAAATTAAAAGTGTGTTTATAACCATTAAGAAATTAAATATTGCTGGAATTGATTCACACACATGTATGTTTCATCTAGAACTTATTTTATCAACGTTCAGACCTTTCTAGTTACTTTTGTCTTTATCCAGTTTTGTGGTAAATTTCACTCCTGGATGTGTTTAGGATGAAGTGAATTATACATTAAAACAATAAAAATACTATTATAGGTATTCATAGCATAACCTACAGAAACCAAGGGACTATTTAGACTTTCAAAGCTGTTCCTGCACACGCATTCTTGTAACAAATTTGAACTCCCCATTTCCTTTTTTATTATTTAATCTTTTGTATGTTACTTTATTAAAGATTTTTAAAATTTGAATACACCTAGTCATACTTCTTCATTTGTCCAGATAACATAAGTAATGTTTTTAAAAAAGTGTAACAGATTGGTAAAATAAGATTTCCTTTTGGTGAATCTGTTTTGACTTTCATTTATGATATCTTACTAAATGTTGTTGTAAAACTTCTTTTATCACTCTTTAGAATTTTTCCTGCTATAAATGTAAGACTAACTAGCTTATGATTGCAACTCATCACCTTTTTTTCATTTTAACATGAGTAACATAAGCAATTTTAATCCTTAGGGAACTTTTCACTCTTGTTATCCATACAGAAGGGGAAGGCTTGGATACTTGATATTTGACCTCCTCTGAAATGCTGGCCATATTGTTTTATCTGCTTTTAATGAAGATTTAAGCAATATTCCCGATCCTTAACAGTTGATAGCTAGAAAAACGATCAAATAAGACAATCACATTAATTGTGAGTTAAATGTGGAGTTTAAAGAATGATAAGGTTCCTAGATCATATATTTCCATAAGAGTTTTTAAGGAGGTTAAGGATTAGATGTGTGAACCACTTGCTAATAGTTTTTGTAAGTCCTTGAATAGTGGACATGGCTACCAGAGGACTGGAAGTTGATCTTTTCATGGAAGGTAATAAAAATTCTCCAAGTAATTAAAGTCCTTTGGTCTTACATCATTGATAGGAATATTTTTGAAAGTCTGATAAAAGATGCTTTGCAGAGTCATTTAGCAAAATTTAAAATTTTGTTAAGTAGTCAAGATGGTTTCACTAAATGAAAATCTTTCCTTAATAATCTTTTAACGTTCTTTGAAGAAGAATGTTGGTGAGAGTAAGGGTATGGACTTGATGCACCTGTATTTTGAGAAAACATATGACAAGGCAACACACAAAAGCCATTATTATTATTACTATTATTATGCATATGTTTCATTTAACTCTTTTCAGCATGGGCTTGGTCCCTGGGACTGACCTCGTAACCATTTTGTGCTTGTTATAGTTTTCATGCTGTAACTTAAATTGGTAAGCAGATTATTAGTAAACATTACAATGCTTCATATGTAAAATATCAGGTTTTTTATTAAGTCTTAAGGTTTATAAAGCAAAGTTTTTCTTGTGCTTTTTTTCTTTTTGCATGTTGCCTATCTACCATGCAAAGTAATTTTCATTTTAAGATCAAAAATACTTTTGCACATCAGAAAATTTTCATATTTTACATGCAAAATCTTTATAATGTTCAGATAATTATCAAACATTTCTTAAGAAAAAACTTTATATTTTATCTGTTATTTTCAGTAATGAATCTCTGTACTGGTTTGGTAGATTTAAACGATCTTGTAACCACCATAAAAAGTTAGGAAATAAATATGAATTATGCTTATTTCATTCTAGAATAACACAAAAATATAAATGTTTAGACTAAATAGCTTAAATCTCATAACATAATACATTTATATATATTTATTATTTTTATTTTATTGACCTTTCAGCCGTGCATGACTAATAGTACAGAAGATACAATGATGCAACTCACGTGCACTCATGTTTCCGTATCAAATAACATAAAA